GGGGTCCCGCACCCCTTTGGGAACCTGAGGGCTGTGGATCGTCTTCTAAGAAAGCGCAGGTGAAAATTTTTTTGTGAGGGGGGAAGGGGAACAGTATTGGGGAATTGGGGAAGGGGAACAGCCAAGTTGTCCTTCAGTCTTAGTTGTGGAGGGCGCAGCTAGCTCAGCTCCAAGTCCAGTCGCCAGCCGGCCGCCCGTCGGCAGCTCAGGGCAGCTCAGCTCAAGGTGCCGTGTTCAATCTTAGTTGCGGATCCCGTGCGGGAGTTGAACCGGCAACCTTGTTGTTAGGAGCATGTGCTCTCACCAGCTGAGCCATCCTGCCCCCTGTTGGCAGCTCTGCTTGGGCGCAGTGTCACTGGCCCATGTGGGAATCAAACCGGCGACCCTGTTGCTCAGAGCTCGTGCTCTTAACCAACTGAGCCACTCGGCAGGCCCTGCAGGTGAAATTTTGCATCTCAGGTGGCTACAGGTTCCTCTGCTCCGTCATGGAAGCTGGGTTAGGAACTGGCTGTAGAGAGGGGGGGAGCCAGGAGCTGAGGTGGTTTGCGGACTGGGCAGCATCTCTGCTAAGTGGGAGGCCTGGTGGTCCCTGGGAGAAAAGGAATTTCTCATTTTGTCAAATTTTAAATACTGAATACAAGGCGTTGCTGACACCTTACCTTTAAGGTGGGATCAGCCTTCCCCACCATGCATGGTAGCCAGCTTCCCAGAGGCAGCAGTGCCCTTAGGAGCAAAGCCACGCAGCCCTCATCTCTGATCCCGGGGCCGGCCGCTACCACCTCTGAGGAGTGCGTTTTGTCTTTTCCTTTCAGAAACGGCCCCCACGTCTGCATATTCATCTCCAGCCCGGAGTCTGGGGGACACAGGAATCACGCCTCTGTCCCCTTCCCATATCGCGGTAAGAAAGGTGTACCTGTGTGTGGGAGTGTGTGTGCTGATAACCTTGGCTTTCAGGGTCTGCTCTCACGAGGCTGCTGGGCAGCCCCTCACGTTCACGGCACTCATGATACCAGCCATGTGAATCCTCCCAGGCCCCTTCCCCGCTCTGGGCCTGGTGGGGCTGCTTCGGAGCCGTTGGCCTGGGTGGGTAGCATGAGCAGGCAGGGTGGGAGCAGCCCTTTCAGATTCAGGGCTCGGAGACTACGGAGCACCTTCCTGGAGGGAAGCAGCCACATCTGGCCTGGGAATCAGTGCGAGGCAGTGGCTTTGTCGGCTATGGTTAATTGCCGTATCCAAAAGTCTGTGGCTGTGTTATTGCTTCTGCAACAGCTTGCCCGAGGGAGGAGACCTGTGCAGGCACGCACTTGCAGTGAGGGGGCTGTAACTCCCACTCTACCCCACACTGAAAAGCTGGATATTGGGGGCAGCTGTTCAAGGGACTTACATGTAACCAACCAGAGAAAAGTACCAGGAGCAAAGGGTGGCTTTGCACGTGCTGCTCAGGTCTAGAAAGACCCTTCTTGAGAATTTCAGAGCCACCATTAGGTCGGGGCGCCAGCTCGTTCTGTTTTCCCCAGAACTCGCCGGGTTTTACGTGGGAAGTCCTGCACCCGGGGGCTCCCTCAGTCCTGGGATGACTGGGAGGCTCGGTCACCTGTGGCCAGGTCCTGTGGTTTTCAGACTCTGCACCCTGAATGTTCCCTGCCACCTTGAGAGTGTGTGTGTGTGTGGGGGGGGGCAGAGTAAAGAGAAGCCAGATGGGTGGCGCTCTCACCCCCTGCTCTAACCAACACGTTCCAAATCCAAAATTCATTGGTTTTATCATTTTTAGTTCTGTGAGTAGTAACAAAAAGGTCTATACTGCTTTAAAAAAAAAAAAAAAAGATTGGAAACCTGAAATGGTCTGACCTACTCACTTGACAGATGAAGGAAGGCTCCAGGCCCTGAGGGGATAGGAATCACCAGGGTCACGCGGAGTCCTGACAGGACCAGGCAGAATCCCTGGTATGCCAAGCGGTCCTCTCATGCATGACACACCTGAGCAGGTCACCTGGGCGGTGCACAGGGCACAGCTGGTAAAGCCGTCTGGGTGGTGGCAGCAGGTCTGCACAGGGATTGGGGAGAACAGTGGAAGAGTGTGTCACTCGGAACCATTGGGCTTCCGGCCCCAGTGGTAGCATTTTCTGTAACTGCTGCACTCATGCACAGGTGATAAAGGGAGTGGTGGGCAAGCTGTAGGCAGATGCCCTCTGCCCGGGGCTCACCCTGTGACAGCCTGGAGCCAGAATGTGCCACATCCTGTCTGCAGTCTGCAGTGGGCACACAGCTGGGCCGGGTAGAGCCACCTGGGGTGTCTCCCTGAAAGCCAGGCTTGGCCACCCCTCCCCCATACCTTACTCAGTGTATCTGCAGAACGATGCTGACCCGAATGTGTCAGAGCAGCAGACGTTTCTCGTGGTGGTGGCCATCGACTTTGGGACCACGTCTAGCGGCTATGCCTACAGCTTCACCAAGGAGCCGGAGTGCATCCACGTGATGAGGTCAGTGCTGTGGCAGGGAGGGGCAGGTGCTGGCACCAGGTCACTGCACCTGCAGAGACTTGGGGGAGGGCCCTGGAGGTGGAGACGAGAGGGAGAAGTTCAATGAGCAAGTGATGGCACTTAGTAGGCGGGCCCTGGATTCTGGCCCAGCTCGGCCCTAACTCCTCCCTGTGCCACTTGGGGCAAGCCACTCCTGATCCCTGGGCTCCAGGTTCCTGGTCTATAAAGGTGCTGGTTTAATTCTGAGTTAGTTGGTCGGGGGAGGGACCCGGACAGTGTGTTTGGGACCTGGCGCCGGTGAAGCCAGCGTCCAGCCTGAGGAAGAGGCACCAACCTACAGGCTGTCTGTGGTGGAGGAGATGTAGGCGCCAGCTTGGCCACTTACTGGGTGACCTCAGGCCATCGCTGAACCTTCTGAACCTCAGTTTCTTCATCTGTGAAATGGAGATAATGGCAATACCTGCCTCACAGGGCATGTATGCACATGAAATCAGATTTCCTGTCAAGTGCTTAGTATGGAGTAAAATAGAAGAAAGAAAGGTGCCAGTTCTTCTGTGTGAAGAAAAGCCATGGGATGACAGTGACCACAGCGGAAAGCACCATGCCTGAGAAAAAGCAGAGTGGGTGGATATCAGCCGAGAGAATCTAAAGGGCCACGCACCCTGAAGTGGCCCTGGGTCTCCTTGGGGGTCACGCTGTGGGCCCCACCCCCATGCACACAGCAGCTCAGCATGTCCTCACATCACGCCATCCACATGTGACCAGCTATCTGTGGGGACTCTGGTCTGTCCAGCACAAAGCCAGCTTCCCTGGTCGGACATGACCTCCCTGCAGAGCCTGCGGACCCCAAAGCTTTGGGAGCTGGGGATTTATCACCCAATGCTCAGGGTGGCTCTGAGCATATGTTGTGATTGGCAATTCCTTGAACTGGTAATTGTGGAAATTAGTTAGCATTCCCAGAGTAAGATGTTAGGCGTTTTTATAAAGTGCTGTTTCAAACACGAGTCAATGAAAGCAGTCCCCTCCCCAGTCTTGGTGTAAGCCCCGCCTTTCTTCTGGTTAGATGTGAGGTCCGTATCCTAAGAGGCTCCAGAGACCCATGGGGTCCTCTCATCGGGTAATACTGTGAGGCTGGTTCTAGTAGAGACCCTGAGGGGGTACAGGGCTCAGGGTCCGTCGGATTAAACCAGGATCCTGCCTCCGGTTAGCTAGACAGATGCTCTGAGGGTCTGTCTGCTCTGCCATCCCGCGAGATGGAAACCCCGAGTGGAAAAGAGCACGTTACGAAAATCTAGAATCAATGATATTAGTGTCTCTGTAGTTGTTTTAAGAAATGTTATTTCCAAGGGATAGTCATGCAGTGAAAATCGGGGGTGGCTGGGGGGAGGGGGAGAAAAAGAGCAGAAAAAACTTTGAACTTGCTTGGGAGGAACCCTCACAAAACATTGGCAGCGTTCAGGGCCTCAGAGGTGTTATCTTAGTCGCTGTAGAGGTTTCGGAGGGAGCTTCTACTGGAATTTTACTTCAGTCAGAACATATGAACCTAACCATGATTCAGAGTCTCAGAGTTATGAATGAGAAAGTTTAATTTTTTGTATTTAGGTAGGAACGAAGGAATAAGAATCTGAAGGGAAACACTCAGGAGGTCACTCACCGTAACTATCAGGGTTAACAGTAATGGAAAGACCAGTTATGAAAGGCTGTGTGTGGAGCGCTCCCCTGGCCCAGGTACCCAGCGTCTGCCTGGGATGGTGATCAGCCCTGGGTCTCAGTGGGGTCACCATGGGGACTTCGGCTCCATCCTGATGGAGCTTGGCTGCGAAACCTGCCAGGGACGATCCTAGACCCGTCTGCACGGCAAGTCCAGGTGGAGGCTGGCTCTCCGTCCGGACTGCGCTGGTCCCCCTGAAGCTTCGTGATGCAGTGTTGGGAGCAGGTGGGCCAGGGAGGAGGAGCCCTCCCCTCGGTCACTCTTCTCACTGACACACTTGTTCTCTAACCCACACGCTCGTTTAGCGTTCCCGTACTCGCCCGTGCTTGCCCACCTCTGAGCAGCCCGCAGGGTCCCTTCCTCCTTCAGCATCCAGTTGTTGTCCTCCTTTTCCTCCTGGGCCCCGCATTCTCCCCTCTGCCCCACCAGCTGGCACCTCTGCCTTCTCTGACCCTGGAGCCTTTCCCTGAGGTTTCGAAAGACGGTCCCATAACCTTTGCCTTTCCTTGGTGTCAGGCGGATGGGAAGGTGGAGACCCTGGGGTGTCCAACCAGAAGACTCCGACCACCATCTTGCTGACCCCCGAGAGGAAGTTCCACAGTTTTGGGTATGCCGCCAGGGACTTTTACCACGACCTGGATCCCAACGAGGCCAAGCAGTGGCTGTACCTGGAGAAGTTCAAGATGAAGCTGCATACCACTGGGGTAAGCGAGCCTCTCCTTGGCCCCAAGTCCTCCACGTTGGGGAGCAGTCTTTCCAACCCAGGGGACCCACAGGTTTCTCCCAAGCAGAAATTCATGTCCATTTACCTTGATTTGAGAAACAACCTGGAGCACGCAACACTTTTATGGGAAACACAGTCCTTTCTGATGTACACGTGGGCAGGGGGGTGTTCAGAATATTTAACAATGTGTTTGCCTTGGAAACTGACCGATCCCAGAGTGGACACTGGCTAGAGCACAGGCCTAGGGGGCCGGCGACCCCTTCATGTGCCAGGAGGTCCCCCTTTAGTTGCTGGATTGTTAGGAGATTAGGGGATCCTGAAGGAGGGACTTGGGGGCTGGGGACATTTGGTGGGGCCGGGCAGTGGCTATTAACTAATCAGTTTGGAAGTAACGACTTGCCCATTAACCCTAGGCTCATGCGTGCAGGAGGGGCAGCTCAGGAAACCAAGTGTCCAGTAATTGGAGGCCCAACTCCCACAGCAGTTCCGCTCCCACCCGCGAAGCCAGTGTTCTGTGCGATGTCCAGGACAGTTTAGGCCCCTTCCCCCAAGGTTCATGAAAAAGCCTGGGCCATAGGATAGAAGTTTTTCAGCTTAAGCATTTGATTCCATAAATTATCCTTAATTCGCAGTACTTGGAGATTCAGGCTGGTGACAGTGTTTAAGACCATGGATCCTGGGGACAGACAGCGTGGGTTAAAATCCTGCCTCTGCTGCCTTGGAGACACTTAATTCAAGTCCCTAACTTCTCTGTGCCTTGTTTTACCTTACTTGTGAGGTGGAGACACTGATAGTACCTTCTTCACTGGGATATTGTAAGGATTAAAGGAATCAAAATACACAAAGCTCTTAGAACCAGGCTGGTACTTCGTCAGTGTGAATCTATCGCTAGCTCCAGTTATTTGCTTTCATTTGTCTGCTGTTACGTGTTTGCAAATGAAAAAACAAATGTTAATGGGACGCCCAGGGCCAGCACCCTGCCTGCTAAGGCGCGGTGCTCATGGTGTGGCTGTCTCTCTCTGAAGCCGGCCAACTCCTGCTAGAAACACATCCCTCCCATTTCACCCGATGGGATCCAGTGCTGAATTTCAGCAGGTGAAAGCACAGGACATTTTTTCAATTGGAATTTTTAAGATTCCGAGCTTCTGGCTTCCTGGGAGGCGCCGCCCAAAAGCTGGGGTGCCTTTGCTGAGTGCCAGGGGTGGGAGGCAGCTGGTCGGGAGGAGGGAGCTTGTGCGGTGGGTCAGGATGACTGACAGGCTCCATGAGATGGGTTCAGCAGCTCGATGCCCCTTCACGCGCCCAAGGCAAAGCCTAATTACCTGGCCTGTATCAAGCTGAGGACCCATGGGTTTCCCCCCCCTCCCCCACCCGCCGCCCCGGTAGTAATGAGCCTGTTGGTTCTGGGAGACTTGGGGGCTTTCGCTGCCCATCCCCACTCTATGGGGACTTTTCTCGTCATTTTTTAATGACTTCAGTCCATACAGCATCTCACAGAGCGTCCTCCACCCGAGGACGGCACTCAGCAGCTGCTGTAGCTTCTGGCGGAGGAAGGGAGGCAATGATGCTGGGCTCCCAGTGGATTTGGCAGCAAAAGCCTTAAAATAGGAGCTCTTCTAGCTTGGTGACTCGGTTGGCAGCTCATTGGGGGACGGAAGCTTCACGTCTGTTTTGCATCATGCATGTCTGGGAGTTTGCATGATAGTGTAGGCCTCCGTTGGGGGCGCTCCCGAGGGCGGCCATGTGAGTCTGCGTGTGGAAGTTGTAGTAAATTCCACCGGCAGTGGAGCCTGCTGCCTTGTCTCTCTTCCTGGGCTCTGTTGCGGCCCTGAAACTTCACTCCCAGAGGATCCAGGAAAGAGAGAGAGAAAAAGAGGGAGAGGGGAAGAAGGGGAAGTGATGGTGGGGCTGAAGCGAACAGCCAGGGCCTCCCACACAGTAAGGGGACCGTGCTGCCAGGCCTGTTTTGGGGGACCCACGTCCTAGTCTGCCCCTCAAACATCAGGAAACACAAACAGCAGGTTTCTCAGAGCTCCACGTAGCGCGGAGCAGCGCCCAAAGCCAGAAGGCAAGGCATGTCTCTCCTTCATCTTCTCAGCGTTTCATTCCTCTCCCCCTGCCAGGACCTCACCATGGATACAGACCTGACGGCAGCCAACGGCAAGAAAGTCAAAGCCTTGGAAATCTTTGTTTATGCCCTGCAGTACTTTAAGGAGCAGGCACTGAAGGTAGGACGCGTGGCTGTGCTGGGGGGTAGGGGGGCATGTCCCTGCCAGCTGGGGAGCAGGGACATCATGGAGGGAGAGAGTGTGGGCTTTGCACTCAGAAAGCAGGGTGCACCCTCCTGCACTGCTGGGGGAATGGAAAATGGTGCAGCCGCCGCTGTGGAAAACAGGCTGGCAGCTCCTCACAAGCTTAAACACAGTTACCATATGACCCAGCAATTCCCAAGAGAAATAAAAAACGCTTATTTACGCAAAAACTTGTACATGAATGTTGATAGCAGCACTATTCATAGTGACTAAAAAGCAGAAACAACCCACAGGCCCATCCATGGATGAATGGGCAAGTAAATATGGTCCATCCATGCAATGGACTATTACTCAGGCATAAAAAGGAGTGATGTGCCGATGCTTGCCACAGCGTGGATGAGCCTTAAAAACATGATGCTGAGTGAGAGGCCAGCCACAAAAGGCCACATATTGTAAGATTCTGTTTATCTCAAATGTCCAGAATAAACAACTCCATGGAGTCGGGAAGTAGGTTAGGGGTTGCCAGGGGCAGGCGGGGACACAGTGGGATGAGGAGTGACTGCTAAAGGGTATGGGTTTCTTTTTACGGTGATGAAACTTAGATGGTGGCGATGATTGCACAAACCTTGTGAATATATAAAAATGCACTGTGTTGTATACTTTAAAAGGTGAATTTTTATGGTAGTGAATGATATCTTAGTAAACAAACAAAAAGAAAGAGAGGCAGGAGACACACCTGTGTGGTCCTGGGTGAGGTGCTCAACCTCTCCGGTACCCACGTTCCTAACCTGAGGAGGGAGACAGGTAACTGCACCTCGTGGGTCAGTCACAGACATGGAGTCCCTTCCTCAGGCTGGGACAGAGGATACTGGGCAAATGTGGCTGCTGCCGTCCATCCTAGGTGGGAATGGTGAGTGGGTGAATTATAGAAATGAATAGGAAGAAATAGGAATAGAATAGAATAGAATAGAATAGAATGGAACAGAAATAGTAGAGTTCTAGAAATGGGGCTAAAGAGGGAAAAAGAAGTGAGGACGTAATACTGCTGCCATCCATTCAGGCATCTTTGGGGAGAGTGCTTTTGATGTGCCAGATCCTTTACAAGCTCCGGCGGTGCAGAAGTAAACATGGCATGAGGCATGTCGGTGGGTGGGTGTTGTGAGGGGTAACTGGGTGTTCAGTGTTGGGAGCAGCTGGGAAGGCTCCCTGGAGGAGGTGGATTGGGAGCCTCCTACAGGCACAGCTGGAAGGGCGGGTGTTTCAAGCTGGTGGAAAAACACAAGAACAGCTCAGGGGAACACAGACGTAGCACACAGCTGCGGGGAGCAGGCAGTTTGGGGTGGGAGAAAGCCAAGGCCGGGGACAGACCAGGGCTGTGAGCGGGCTTGGGACGTGGTCGTCCAGAGCCCCAAAGGCCAAGCTAGGGAACTTCTTCCCGGGTAATGGGGAGCCGTCAAAGGACTTCTAGCAGGGGAATGCCGTGGCCACAGGGAGAGTGCTACACGGACAGAGACCACAGAGGCCCCGAGGCCTGCGGTACGGATGCCGCTGACTCAGACCCGGCAGCACTTTTGGCGGAGGCTGAGGGCGAGGCTCTGAGCCTCAGAGAACGGCGGGGTCATCGGGGAAACCTGAAAACCAAGAAGAAAGAGGGGGTGGGAAAGGGAAGAAGTGGGTCCTGGGAAAAAAGTCTTCCACCAGAAAGGGAGAGGGGCGAGACCAGAAAGGCAGGAAGTGGGAGGGAGACAGGAAGGCAGGCCCGCAGCGAGGCCGGGTGGGACCTGGAGAAGGGGAGCGTGTCGTGACCTCTGTCGGCATGAACAGCACGGATCCCAGAGGGACAGACTCAGGGCCTGGTGGCCCAGGCGGCCCTTGAGGGCCTGTCTCCCTGACCACAGGGGGCAAATCGGAGAAAGTTGGAAGAAGCAGAGGGAGGCAGAGTCCTTGGAGGGCCTCTGGCTTAAAACGAGGCGCTATTGGACTCTGGGAAAATTTAGGACTTGAGAAAGTCTGTGACCCTGGAGCGTGTTTCAAGCTGGCCAAGAGGAAAGGAGTGAACAACCCATCTTAGAGGGGGGATGGGCACTGAAGTTCAAGCAGAGACGCGGGTCACGGGTGGCTGTGAACCCGTCACCTCAGCCAGAGGCTCCAGGAACCTGCTCGCTCCTTCTCCCGGCCCGGGGAACATGTGAAGAAATTCCACGAGGAAAACCTGTTTGAGGAGATTTATAGGAACCAAGCCTTGGATAACAGGGCTGGCTGGTATTTGAGGGACAAAAGGATTCAGAGGAGAGAACTATTGCTTGTTGATCCAGAATAAGCTAAACTAGAGGATCTCAGAAGTCACATACATGAGGCAGCCTCCTCGTCCATGAAGGAAAGCCAGCGAAAGTGTCTGACAGATGAGAGGTTTCATTAATGTCAGGTTCGTTTCCCTTCCAAGCTGTTCTGCATCCACTGGTGAACAGCTTATCTAAACAACTTTCCGTACAGCCAAGGAAGCCCATCATTCAGGTCTCAAGCCTCTTCCTGTTTAAAGAGTTTAAAATAGCCTGGATGGGAACAGGCGTTGTGTTTAGAGTCCTTCCCAACACATGCCACACGCTCACCTACTTGTAAAGCCCAGTGCAGACGGGCAAGGAAATAAAACACGGTTTTCAAAAAGAAAAGAAAAAGGCTGTTTCATGTTGGCCCAAAGCAAAGATGTTTTTTAGAAACTTTAAAAAAAAAAAAACTTTGCTGAATGTACTCAACATAACTGAACCGTATACTTAAAAGCGGTGAAGGTGGTAAATTTTATGTTCTGTGTCATCACAAATAAAAATGAAATTTTTTTTTTTAAAGGCAAGAAAAAAGAGTTTACTGATCAAAGAGGAAGTTAGTTCAGTGACAGGGTGGGTCAGTTCCAAGATAACTATTTGAAACAATAGGGAAAATGAAACACCCGTCAGAAAAAAAATCACCAGCCTGGTTACTAACCTGAACCGTGTCCCCAGAGCCGACTCTGATATAGAAGCGCTTTAGTGTGTGTTTTTAGGTTTGATTTCAGATTGGTGTGGTGACTATGGCGATGGAGTGCGAGAGCCAAAGCACCAGCATTTGTTGATCAGAGGTCTTCTCTGGGCCAGACCCTCCACGTGTGTTCTCATTTAATCTTGCTCCTAAGGCATAAGCTAGTTGCATTCTCCCCATTTTACAGATGGGAATACTGAATCAGAACTATTCGAGAGACATATTTGGACCTGGTGGAAACCTCTGAGGCCTCTGCCCATCCCATTTACCCACATGGTTTAACCTTCACCGAAAGCTAAGGGCAGCATGAGCCTTGCTTAGGTCATGTCATTCAGATCATTCCCGTCCTGCCAGGAAAACTCCCCAGATGTGCTGGTCTTTCGGTAAGGTCAATGACAGTGACAGCGCTGACCACAACTGCCAAACGTTGTTAAGGATGACTGTGGGCCCTGCACTGCTCTAGCTACGAGACCACCTGAAACAATGTAGTGAAGACCTTGGCCTTTAGAGTCAAGATAGCCTCGGGTCTGGGTCCAGATTTTGGCTCTGCTACTTTCTATGTGCAGTCATCAGAAAGGTGCTGAACATGCCTAAGCCGTGGTTTCCCATCTGTAGAAAAGGGCACAGCGTTCAGGGATGGATTCTTGGAGATGGGGTGTGCAAAATGCTTCGCAAGGCGGATGCAGAGTAAGCGCTCAGTAAGTGCAGCTCTCAGAAATGAGCCATCCTGCCAACAACCCTATGGGATGGGTATTATCCCCATTGTACAGATAAGGAGACTGAGGCCTGAGAGGCAGTCACTTACCTTAAGTCATATCATCAGGAAGTGGCCAAAGGCCTTTGATCTGCCTGCCTCTCGCTTGCAGACACATTCAGTGAGTGAAAGCTGCCGGGAGCGCCCTGCTTGCTGAATATTCAGAAAACAGACCCTTGCTCCCCAGTGCTGGTCAGTTCAGGAGGCTGTGGAAGTTGAGTAAGTTCATGGCCAGGAAGCCCGGATTCTCAGCGAAGTCACAGGAGGACCAGCTATGTCCACCTGACCTGCTGCACTTTCCTTGGCTTTAGGAGCTGAGCGACCAGGCGGGTTCGGAGTTCGAGAACTCTGATGTCAGATGGGTCATCACGGTGCCTGCTATCTGGAAACAGCCTGCCAAGCAGTTCATGAGACAAGCTGCCTACCAGGTGAGTGTGGGGGTGGGCGCGGACGGGGGCCCGGGATGCCAATGGTGATGACTCAGGTGTCTGCCAGCATTCACAGGCTTCCTTGGGAGGCATCGAGGGGTCTCCCCTTAGGTAGGGGGACCAGGAGCCTCCCTACGCCTCACCTTCCTCCTGGGGGACAAACGGGGGTCAGACGATAAGGGCGGGGGACTGGGCCCCGTTTTCTTTCTGGCTTTATACATTTCCAGGCCGCGGTGCCCCTGTGGAGTCCCTGGCACTAGGATTTCAAACTAGCGTTCAGGGACATTTCTCCATGGGTGAATGGAATTGAGAACTTTAAGTAAAAGGCTTGGGAGACACGAATATTTGACTAAGAAAGGAATAAAGACAAGGCCAATGGCTGTGAATCAGACAGATCAGCTTGGTGCGGAGACTGAAACCTGCACATATGCAGCTGGGAGATGAAGGAAATATGATTTTCCTCTGCATGTTTCACCTATGAACACAAGGAGCACATATGGTCGCCCCAGAGAGGGGTGAGGGCTGTCACACCTGCACGGTGGCAGACACCTGGAGGAGGGCAGTGCATGGCTAAGGAGTGTGCCAGTCAACACAGAGCCATGGAGACAGAGCACTCCGGGGCCGATGGCCCGCCCATCCCTCGTGGGCACCCGGTGGGCACTGCTAATGCCTCCAGCCCTCACACTGTTTGCAGACAATTTGTGCCCTGATGGGGCTTCCGTGCAGGTCTGCCTTCGTGGCAAGAATGGCTGGCCGACTGACCTGCTGTTCTGATCCCAGGACGGAGCAGGCTCCTGTGTATTTAATCCCCTGGGTTAATGAAAGCCCATCCTGGGGCCTGGGTCAACTCTGTGCCCTGAAAGTCAGTTTTCAGAGCCATGAACCTGAGCCGGCCTGGGGAAAGTCACCAAGGTCATAGATGTCCTTTTGCCCACTGCCATGCCTCTCAGGAGACAGCCGACTTTCCCAGGGGACATACCTCTACATTGAGCTTGTGGCCACCTGTGTGAAACTTTTCCTTTCAAAGCACCCACTGAATCCACCCTGAACACGGGACTATAGTAAATTGGCCATGGGCACATTGGTGTCATCAATTGTACTTGACTCTTGGGGCTTCACTCCAGGTGGCGGATAGAGTTCAAGAAAGGGCAGTGTCTCCTCCCTTCACTCTCCCCCATTCCGTTTCTCCCCTGCTCTGCTCCAGACTGTCTCCTCAGCTCTCCCCTTCCTCTGCTCAGCGTGAGAATCTGGCTCAGTGTACGTATCTGCCAAAAATAGATTTGTTTTTATAGGGATGAAGGAAGAGGGTGGAAGTTCCACAGAGAGGCAACTTCTTTAAAAAGAAAGACACACAAATGCACTTCAGTTGCCCACAGAAGCCCTGGGCACCACGGAGCTTGGCATGGGCTCAGCCTTCAGGCAGTGTCCAAAGATGGACGCCGGGTACAACTGTCTATGAAGATAGCCGAGTGTTTTGAGATTTTCCCAGGAAGCATGTTCCATATTTCATGGTTTCGACTCATATTTTCCAGCCCACAGGAAGACTTTGACAACAAATGTGTGACCCGGAAAAGGGTTCGTTCTTATTTTTAGTTTAAAAAAGCAAGAGGTATAGTGACCGGCAGGTTTGTCAAGGCTGTTGGAGCTCTGGCTGGCTCTTCCAAGGACAGGGTCTCTGAGAGGGTGGGGGCCAGGGTCAGGGGGTGGGGGAGAGGTCCGTTAACACTGGGGCAGCGCAGGAGGAAGGAAACCAGGCAGAGGGGGGTGTGGCGTCCTCTGGGGTTTGGCGGAATCCAAATGGCACCTCAGAGAGTAGAGGGGTCAGCAGGTCCTGAGCAGGGCGGATGTGACCAGCATTTATGGATGCGGGGAATTTACTTTCTGGAGCCCAGGGACACGCTGCAAATGGACCTATCCTCTCGATGCCAGGCAGCTTTTGTCTGGTGCAGTGTTTGTGAAGCTTAATTTTTAGTCCTTTGTATATCTGTTTTGATACTTGTGTTCAGTTTACAGTCACTGAATGGATTTCAAGATAGCAGGGACCAGTCAATCACTCATTTGTTCATTAAACAGATCTGTGCTGGGGCCGTCTGTGTGCCAGGACTGTGGTAGGTGCTGGATTCATAGCCTGTGTGATCAAGACAGGCCCTGCTTGCAAGCTGCTTGCAGCTGAGGGGTTCTATGAAGGCTTTCATGCATCTGAGAGAGGGGCAGAGGACGTGCTAGGGACATGGCTGCTTTGCCGAACTCTCTGCGGTCTCTTCAGCCTGTCTTCTGGAAGATTCCCCACGACAAAATGGAAGTGAAACTTGCTGCTCTGTGGCTAAAATTAGCACCTCTCTAATTCCCCCTCCCCCCAATTTATTATACAGAATCAGAAAGTTGTGTACCTGTGATGGTTAATTTTATGTGTAAACTTGACTGGGCCAAGGGGTATCCAGATATTTAGTCAAACATCATTCTCAGTGTTGCTGGGAGGTGTTTTGGGATGAGATTAACTTTTAAATCAATGGACTGAACAAAGCAGATGGCCCTCCCTAAGGTGGGTGGGCCTCATCCAATCAGTTGAAGGCCTGCATAGACCAGAGGGCTGAACCTTTTTAGATGAGAGGGAATTCTTCCTGCCTGCCAGCCTTGAAGCTGGGACATCAGTTGCGTGTTTTTTTTTTTTCCTACCTTTGGACTCAAACTGAAACATGGGCTCTTCCTGGGTCTTGAGCCTGCCAGTAAAGGAGTTAAGTACTTGTATACCATCATTGGCTCTCCTGGTCCTCCAGCCTGCTGACTGCACACCTCCAGACTTGTCAGGCCCCGTAATCGTGTGAGCCGATTCCTTATGATAGATCTCCTATAAACACACGCATCCTACTGATTTGGTTTCTCTGGAGAACCTTAAGGCAGAACCTGAGCAAAAACCACAGCTCTTGGCCCAGACAACTTTTGAGATCCAAGCGTGCCCACCGACCCTTTTACCCAAAGTGTTGCCCATTGGCCTGGCTTGAGGTGGAGGAGACGGAAGGATGAGGTAGGACTGTAGGGTTGTTGGGGCAGCTGGGAAACTGGTCCCACCCAACCTGCTTGTGGGTAGAAATGGAGCCCCTCGTCCCAGGCCTCTTGGCGCTTCCCTGAACCCAAGTTCATAGCACGGTCATGTGAGGCCTGAGCTTCCCCGTCCCCCAGCCTGGTGGAGGAGGAAGGGGGGGGGGCCTGGCTGCTGAGCGGGAGATGAGGCTCTGGGCAGCCTCGCCATGGGAAAAGCAGGTCTGGAGTGTTTGGTTCTGCGGTTCCGCTCAGAGGTCTGGGATTCACTGTCAGTGAGGGCTGCAGTACACTTGACAGAATACAGCCTCGTCTGTGAAACTCCAAAATCTCTGCTGTGTCAAGTGCTGGTTGGAAAAGTAGGTCAAATCTCTATCTTTGATCATTCACAGCGTTGGGGCCCCTTTAGCCCCTTGAAGAGCATTCAGTGAAAAGATGGTAAGAGAAAGAGAACCGCTGATCCCCCTTTTGAGGCCTTCGGAAAAGACCTAGAATCGGAGGTAGTTAGCCCACTTGTCTTGTGAGCTTCATGGATAGGAAATAGTCTAGTTTTTTTCTAGTGGCATTTTGCCTAAAATGTATAACTCTCATAGGTCGCAGAAACCTGTTAAATAAAAGATGTTCCCCTACATATGATTGCTCTCGTCCAACACCGATTTGCAGCTTGCATTTGACCCCGTTTCGGAACAAACTACAGTGAAAAATAATCACATGAAAGGGGGACAGAAGGACCACCACCCCATGGCACCCAGAACCAGTGCAGCTGTAGCCTTTGCAGCGTGACGCTCGGCCAGCAGAGCACTCAGCCCATCTGGTCATGTTTCTCAACTGCGAACACAGTGTCTGGCGGATTTCCCTAGCTGACTGCAGGGCCGAGGAGCAGAGAGTAGGTGTAAACACCCACATCCGTGGCCTCCCTGGAGTTCACCTACCTGCTGCTCCTCCCCGGTGGGGCTTGTGACCATGAGGCAGCACTTTATAAAGCTACGATGATGGTCCTCCTGCCTCCCGAGGTTCGTGGAGGAGTCAGATGGAGTAGCGTGCCCTTGGTTCTGGCACTTTCTGTTTGTAGAATCCCCAGGTCACGTTGGTGGAATGCTCGCTCTCAGTTCAGTTTTGCAGAGGTGAGCGCCAGGGAACTGCAGAAGAAAAGCCGGCTGGAGGGATGCTTGATTCATTGATTCAGCAGCTACCCTCTCAGCACCTACTATGTGCAACGGGGCAAGAAGACCTGACTGCTGCCCTTAGAAAATGTACCATCTTGCAGGAGAGGCCAGACCTATCCACATGGGCCCCAGCGGAGGAAGAGCTCACATCGGCACAGTAGCCATGAGATCCCAGCTCCAGAGGCCCAATTAGCAAAAGCCAAGAGTCCCCCGTCTTCTGCTCCAGGTGACCCTGGCCTGATCCCAGGCAAATAGACACCCAGGTCTCCTGACAGCTGCTGGCCAGAGAGCTTCTGCTGAGAAGACGACCAGTGTTTATGCAGAAACAAAGCTTCCACTTCCAGGCACTGGAGCCTCCTGCTCAGAGATAAAGACAGCTGGGTTTGGAGTCTGGCTTGTCTAGTCTTGGATTGTCTAGTGTTTCCTCCTTTTCTTGGAGTCCACAGGCAGCCCTGGGACCTCTCCTGGGGAGACAGAATCTGTACAGAGCCAGCTGCTTCCTCTTGCCTCTGTCCCTCAGCTCTTCACTGTGGCCACCACAAGAGTTGAAGAGGGGACACAGCCCCTCGCTCTCTGGGGAGCTTGAAGGGCTGGTTCAAGCAAAGGAATGTGGTTACTTTGTCCTGGGTCTCCCAGATGCTTCCTGGCCCCTCTCTGACCTCTCCTTTTCCTACCCCCTGGTTTGGGGTCCTCTTCACCTCCATTCCCCATCTGCATCCTCTCCTGGGGGTCGTGGGGAACCCCTTTTGCTGTGGAGCTGAGGCCAGCCCGGCTAGGGAGGGGCAGATGGAAGGAGGCCTCTGCTGAAGGTGCAGCCATGCTGTTTTGGCACTCAGGTCAGCCTGTGTGTCTTCACGTGTTCAGGATCCGGGAGCATCCTAGTGGGGGATCGTCTCAGTCACACACCAGGTATACACTTGGGCACATCGAGTTGTGTGATCTTACTCACGGCTCTCACTCTTCTGGACTTCTTGATTTGATTTTTCTGCGTAGATATATCAGATCTCAACCCGAGTTCCTGCTCAGAATTTGAGGCAGGGTGTGGAGAGGGACAGTGTTTCTTTTCTGCCCTCTCTTCCTTCCCGCCTGTCCCCCACGGCCAGGCCCAGGCCACATGGGGGCCGCCTGGCAGCCTGACACCCCAGTGGGACACGATGACAGTAATGTCCCTTTTGAGTGGGCAGAACCTTGGCCTTTTCTCCTTTACTCTGAGTCTCTGGGCACCTCTCTGGCGCTCTGCTTGCACGACCTCTCCCCGCAAATTATTTTCCATCCTGAAGTTGGAGGAGAGTCTGATACATGTAGGCCCCGCTGTTTCTCTGCAGATAGCCCTTCCTCACCTCGTATTGTGGAAGCTGGGCCTGGTGGCTTCTGTTCCAGGAGGTCTGGGGCTCTTCCTGGTTCATTTTGGATTTCTTCTTCTGGGATCCTGTGGATTAAGGTTCAGCGATCTCACCCCACCTGGCGGCATTTCAGGTGTATAACCCTGAACTCTTTGACTGGGCGCTGTAACCTCAGCTATCTTTGTGCCAAGGGTGTCTAATGTGACCCTGGGAGAAAGTGAGGCAGGGGATGGGGACTTTTAATGCCTGGAATAGGGAGTGGTGGGAAATCTTGTCACGCAGCTGTGGCAGTGGCTTGTTGGCCCATGTCAGTTAAGGGCAGACCCTGCCTCTTCAACCCGGGGGCCGAGCTGATGGGCATAGGCGCTGTCCATGTGGCTGGCCACAGCCGCGGGTACAAGGTAGTAAGGAGGCGGGTTTCCTGTGGACGGGGTGGGACATGTGCACGGTTCTGTCTGGTTCTATAAGGTCAGTCTTCCAGAAGAGGCTCTGCCACTTGCTGTGAGTCACTCAGTCCTGGCAAAGTGGAGATTTTCAGTCACCTACCTGTTCATTGATGGTATCTCAAGAGGACATAATTAATCGATTCATCTGGGGTACAGTTATCTTAGAGAACTTCGGGCCTCAAGGATGGTCAGTGGGTCATCATCGGTTGCTGTCCCAGAGTAAACAGGTCAAGAGCTGGTCTGTAAGGCTGAGACCATGGCCTGGGCCAGCTCTGTCACTTAGGGTTGGACACCTGTGAGCCTAAGACTCTCTGGTTTTAGCACGGAAAGCCCTGTGTCCCAGGAAACCCGGGACAGTCGGTCAGTCTACTTCCCTGAGCCTTGGATCGTTTCTGCATGAAGTAGTTAGACAAAAGGTCCTTTGCATTTCTAATATCCTAACCTGAACCCCCTCCCCTCCTTGCCCAATAATTGACCCTCCTAAGCCTCTTCCACTCGTGACTGTAGGCCGGCTCCACCAAACCTCACCGGCCTGGTATAGAACTGGGGGTGGCACGAGGACGGCATCCCGAGGTTCCCTAGCAAACGGGAGCAAAGACGACAAGCACTGCGGTGACAGGCATGAGCGTGCTTCTATTCTCCATCATGCTGGCAGGCAGGGAAACCCTGCGGGCTTCCACAGCTCCAACCAGCCCGCGAGACCGCGGGCTGCGGTTCTAGGGGCTGCGGTTCTAGGCCCAGAGAAGTGGGCAGGGGCCTGGTAGAGGCCACGCCAGGCTCTTTTCTCTGAGCACCCTCAGAAGGGTGGTCCCCGAGGCTCCTGGGCTGGCCCTTCTTAAGGTCTGGAGGGACTGTGACTGGAACAAGCCAGATGTCACAGAGCAGAAGCATTTAAAGGGATATTGAAAGGAATAAAGGCTTTGAAAAAGATACCTGCCAGCTGCCTTTCCACCCACGCTCCACAGAAGGGCGGACTGTGGGGGATTCCACGAGGGGCTTTCTCCTGGAGCCCTGAGCCCTCCTAGTCAGAGTCCCATACAGCAAAAGCAGATGCCTGCCTGGCTGAGGTCCAGCGATGGGCCATTTGTTTCCCAGGCCGCCAAAGACTGGAGCTTGCTGTGACTTGGTCAGACTATTGGCCTATTATAACCAAAAACAGACTATCTGTCTTCCCTCCTGTAACGTTTTCAAAATTTTGGGGTCTTCGCCTCATGCTTCTCAGTTCTGGGCTGAGCAGGCCCCAAGTTCAAGAGGCCCCATGGCCCAGGGAGCTTGGCATCCCCCAAGGGGCTCATACAGTTTTCTTGGGCACCCTGCAGTGTTTGGGTTCCTGGCTTAGGGCTCAGCACCCGACCACTTTGGATCTTAAGCTCTGCAGAGGCCTATGGAGGGAACTTCCCAAACAAGCGGAGTGTGAATGTCGCTTCCTTGGGGGGGTGGCAGCCCCAGGTGTGGGTGTCCTAGTGGCCCTGCCCAGGGAGCCCTGGTCCCAGCCTCCGCTTCCTTTTTCCAGGCAGGCCTGGCCTCCCCTGAGAACTCGGAGCAGCTCATCATCGCCTTGGAGCCAGAGGCGGCCTCCATCTACTGCCGGAAGCTGCGGCTGTACCAGATGATTGAGCTGAGCAGCAAGGCCGCGGTCAATGGGTACAGCTCCAGTGACACAGTAGGAGCTGGGTTTGCACAGGGTACCTCTGCTCTCTCTCTCCCCCTCCCTGCGCTCTCCCCTCCTGCCCCCTGCATGTCTCTTAGCCTCTGATGATTTAAAGGCACTTTAGTGCTGTAATGAAGAATCAAGATGCTTCTGGAACGGTGTCTCTAAGCACCTCTGGCTCAGACCCCCGACCTGGCCCCTCCAAGGACCCCCATAAACTCAGCAGTGGATACCCTGGTTCATCCCCCATACACGTGCCTTAGGAAGGGGGGGTGCACTTTTCTCCAAAAACCTGAGGGGGGCCCGGAGAGCAGTTCTTGGCTTTGCATTTTACTAAGCTCTTAATCTTTCTTGTCTGTTAACTGATTCTTAATCTAATGCCATTTGCCTGTTATTAATTCTTCCATTAAGATTGTTGATTTATTGCTGACTCACTCATTGGGGCCGCTTCGTGTGTGATGACTCATTATGTGTCTTAGCCATAAACCTGGCAAGAGTTGAAACTACAGATGAGAAGGGCTGACTTTTCCTGACCTGGATGATGTGCATTTAGCTGTGGGAAGGGGCACCCACTGAGGGAGACCCAGGATGGGGATTTTAAGGAACTTTTCCCCTCTCATATTTACCTGTATGCAAGTTGGTTACAATCTTGGTCCCCACAACAGTTTTTCCTGGTACCCAGGGCTCTATGGGTCTGCCTGGGGCCACCCTAGGTCAGGGTCAAAGTTCGCAGACACCCTAGGTCAGGGTCAAAGCCACCAATGTGAGTGTGGAAGCTAATCAGAGTACTGTGGGGGTGGCTCTGTCCCCACATGAGGGCCTCGAGGGCAGAAAGCCACCCACCTCCCATTCCCACCACTGTCCTGCCCTGGAAGGCCCAGCCCGAGGAGGAGGAGAGGGATGACGTTAGTGAGGACTGTCGCAGGTGGTCCCCATCCCCGAGGCCCCAGGGCCCAGGCTCACCTTAGCAGGCGCACATTCCTGGTCTGGGCCGTCTCCTCCAGGTCTCTCTTCTTCAGGGCACCGCCCTACATTTTCAATCCGATCGCGGAGTCTGAACCTCAGCCACAAGACAGGGGCACAAAGTCCACTTGTCACCAGGCTGCTGCCTCAGCCCGCCAGGGCTGTGTGTTAGCACCTCAGGTCTGATTCACCCGGAATGGATGGAAACAGGCTTCCCTTTAAATCTGAGGGCTCGATTTGCCTTTTTCTAGCCATGCTTGGCCTCCCCAGCGCCTGCCGAGGCTAGCCTGACTGCTAACAATCAAATGCACTGATGTTTTAAATACGCGGGATGCCATATTTAAATTTCCATCTTCACTGTTTTAATTGGAAAAGAGAGGAATGACTGGGCTTTACACCTTACATGCTGGCTCTTAACTCAGTTGTTCATATAGAGAAATTCATAAGAATTAGCCAATTCTAATGTTTGGTCGCCTTTCCTTCCACATGTCCTGTCTACCCCCACCCCCCACCCCACTGCCCCGTGCCTTGTCCTGTGCCTGTGGACTTTGTTATCTCATGCGCTCAGAGGGGCTTTAGGGTTTTTTAGATCCTCAAACTGTTGGCCAGCATCCCTCAGAATGGCAGGGAGGCAGGGGTTCTGTCTCGGCCTTGCTTTGCAGTTAGAGCCTCTCTCCCAGAAGGAGGGGGTGCTGTCTGGGGAGGCCTGGCAGAGCACTTCATTGGGAGTACCCAGGATGGCTTTGATGCCCCAAGATCCCCCCCACCTCCCCCCCAGGCCATCCCCTGCCGTTGATGCTTTTCATGATGGACGCCCAGTGGACAATATGGAAGAGAACGGAGCTGGCAGTCTTCCCCAAGCACCACAGGGTTTGCTGTTGGGATTTTTTTTTTTTTTTACTCCAAAAGGATAAATCCTGTTAATCAGTAAAGGATACATTTTTCACACTGTTGGGCTTAATTTGCCTGAAAAGTGGGATAATTTTTTGAGAGCTCAGAACACGTTTTATTAGCTTCGCTTGGCCGTGTTTTTATGAATGCCATTTTGTTAGTCATCTAGATTGTTTTAGAAAACCAGATGCCCACTACAGGACCTGTAATATAAATTTGCCTAGAGCTGGTACTGGGAACAGGGAAGAAGCCCTGAGTTTGGGGTTTCCTCCCAGGCCTGCAGGCACTCTTGAATCAGGGGACGGCCTCTCCACCATAAACCAGGGCCGGAGGCATTTAGAGCTGGCTGGGTGTTTGTCATCCCAGTCCCCGGAGTCGGTGTTGTTTTGCAAATGCCACTCCTTGCTGAAAGAAGCTGGAGGGTCCAGGGGCCTTTATTGGATAAACAGCAACAGATGGATTTGGAGGGCAATTTAAAGTAGCAGCACCCACTCAGGGACTAACATTGTTGTGGGGCCAGGTTGTGGGATGGGTGGACGGAGCCGTTACTTCTAGAATCTGGGGTTGCTCCAAGTCGGGCCTGGTAGTGATCATTTGTTGGGCACCAGGTCTGACACTTGGTGTCTCACCTCCATTATCACCTGTGAGCCAGGTGTCACACGGGGTGCTGGGGACAAATCCGAGAACCAGTCCCTTCTCTGCCTGCCAGGAACTTAGGCCAAATATTATTATCCCCATGGAATGGATGAGGAAACTGAGGCCCAGAGGGGTTGAGTGATATGCCCAAGTTTCCATCTCGCCTGTGCCCTGCAGCTTCCCAGGGACGCTCTCACAACACTTCCCCATTTCTTAACGTTCATATTCTGCTTTTTCAAATTTCACTGTAAATTGTTAAATCTCAGCATGAGGGTCCATGGTCAAGAGTTAATTTCGGGCTGCAAGACAGGATGGGAACAGCAGTTCCCTTAACCTCCCTGACCTGGTTTCCTCATCTTAACTTAGTTCGGTGTCCGGCCTCGCAGGGCTGTGAGGCGGCCAGCGGGAGATGAAATACCCCATGCAGGGCGCCACAGCCAGGCTGACTCACCGCTTCAGGGAAAGGGTGGTGCTGGGCTTTGCTGGGTTCCGACGGGCCACATCGTGGCTGAAGCGCCACCTTGTGGCTGAATAGCATATTGGCTTCAACAAGGTCAGGACATGGCTGCTGTCCAGTTTACCGGGGATCCAGATTAGGAAAACATACTCCACATTCCTTGTATCAGAGTTCCTTGATGTGAAACTATTTAACCAAGCACACTGAAGGCTGCTTGGCAGAGAGCTTCCTCCCTGGGACAGCAAAGCCAGGAAACTGGCCGATTTTATTAACCCATTCCCCCAAAAATGTCACCGGTGGAAGGGACGCTCATCCAGGCGAACTTTTTTTCAACAGGGCCTAGGCCAAAGCTGCCACACAGATGAATAGGTGGAGGCCGGTGGAAATAGCTACTTGCTCTGGAAGTGCTGGCTTTCTAATTCCCGATGTTGTATTTATGTAATCATTTTAATCATGTTTCACTAAATGTTCTGTCCCTAAATTTCCTCATGCCGTCACTTCCACTGACTTCAGATGACCGCTCGCTTTTTCATGCTTTCTTACCCGTCGTCATTTTCTTTCTGTCGGCCACTAGCTAAGGAACACATACGGCGTAATCGGCAGAGTCGGACCTTTTTGGTGGAGAATGTCATAGGAGAGATCTGGTCCGAGCTGGAGGAAGGTAGCATCCTTGAATGTCCTTTTGCCCTTGCCGGACTTTTTTGTCCATTGTGTTGCTGGCAAAAATGCATTTCTCTGTGTTCCTTTTGCACTTTTGGAAAATGCTCAAAATCAGTTGGTTTTAAAGACCACTCACCCAGGGAGAGCTCTTTTTTGGAGCTGTAATTTTGCATGTGATAAAACCATACAGACTCTTCAAAAGAAAGGTAGGGGTCGGAATGCACCAGTTCCGGAGTAAATCTTCTGTTAAACAGCAGGTCATTTTATGGTGCTTTTAACTTGGCAGGAAGTTATCTACTTGGACATGCCAGGTATACAGCAGCATGTGACGTGAATGCTTTAGTTTTAAAGATTCACACATCTGTGTTCTTTATCATTCATGCTAACCGTCACTCCTGGCAGACATGAGTCACTCTCCTTAGTCATGAGTAACTCGCTGTGCAGCTCATTAACAAAACCATTGTACTAACGAGAAGTTTGGGTGGTGCTTAGCTGGGTTATACCAAGTCATCACCCACCAGCTTGTTTCAGGACAGGTGGACAAGCGGTCTATGTAAAGGATGGCTGTTTTTGTACAGGTGACAAGTACGTGGTTGTGGACAGTGGCGGTGGCACTGTAGACCTGACAGTCCATCAGATATGGTTACCGGAGGGACACCTAAAAGAACTGTATAAAGCAACAGGTGAGCCTCTGCATGGCGGGTTTTCTCATACCTGAGCCGTTTCACTCACTCCCGATTTCTCTCAGCATTTCATTCTCTCCATGCCACCAGCATGTGGGGTTGTAGGTGGGAGAAGGCGCGGAGGCCGATTTGAAATTGGGAAACAAAATGTAGTTAAATGTTCTTTTATTTATTCTTTCTTTCTTTCTTTCTTTCTTTCTTTTTAAAGATCTTATTGGGGAATTGGGGGGATGGGAACAGTGCTGGGGAATTGGGGGAAGGGGAACAGACAAGTTGCTGTCCTTTTGTTCTTCAGTCTAGCTGTGGAGGACGTTGCTTCACTGGTCCAGGTTGGCACCATCATTGCGCTCTTCCCTGGCGAGGCGGATCAGTCACCGGCTTCTGGACGGCCGCTCACTGCGGCTACTGGCCGCTCACGCTGGCTGCTGGCTACATACGGTAGCCCGTGGCAACCCACTGCCACAGGGGCTGCAGCCTACGCCGTCACCGGCGACTCACGGCGGCCCAGCTCCAGGTTGAGCTGTTGTTCAGCATCTTAGCTGTGGAGGGCAGTGTCACTGGCCCTCATATGTGGGATCCGAACCGGGGCCCTCTGGCGTCCCAAGCCAGTTCTTAACCATCGTGCCACTCGGCCGGCCCTAAATGTTCTTTTAAAAGATGCATACAAACCACCATAACTTGGGTTTTGGCATAATAAGTGAGCCTGTTTTAGATCCTGGCCAAGGGAGTTTGCTTTTGAAAGTTCTGGAAGGATGTGACTGAAACCTGATGCCACCTATGATATAGTGACATGGCTAAGCTTTCTAGCAGGTCCCAGGACACCTGGTCATGGATTGAGAATGGGGTCTTTCCCTTGGTGGGGTGGGGTTCATGAGTAATTAGTAGACCCTGTCTTAGGATTTCTTGGGTAAGAATACCACGATGCTCCTAGTTAGTTAAATGTACTGATTTTATTTAAAATGTAATTGATTTTAAACAGATTTTTGACGAGTGATTTCTGTACGAAATAAGTTTCTCCATGAGGCATGAGAAGACCCTAAGTAAGAACAGAGCTGCGGTCTACTTGCTCAGGGGGGTCCAAGTTCATGCTGCTTTGTGTTGCAGAGAAGGGCACAGGGTAGGCTCTTTCTCAGACTTTGGATCCAGTTTCTCACGGTTTTTAAATATGGCGGGCGCCCATTTTGTTTTCCACTCAGGCGGACCCTACGGATCCCTAGGAGTAGATTACGAATTCGAGAAACTTCTGTGTAAAATATTCGGAGAGGATTTTATCGAACAATTCAAAATCAAGCGTCCCGCGGCCTGGGTTGACTTAACGATTGCGTTTGAGTCTCGCAAAAGGGCGGCTGCCCCGGACCGAACTAACCCGCTGAACATCACCCTGCCCTTCTCCTTCATCGACTACTACAAGAAGTTCCGTGGGCACAGCGTGGAGCATGCCCTGAGGAAGAGCAAGTGAGTGGGGCTCGCCTCTGGCTCGGGACGTCCGAGCAGTGGCGTGGAGAGCAGCTTTGCTCCTCAGTGTCTGGCTGCCCTGAAGTGCACTTCCTGTAGCAAAGACAGGACACATGCACGGTTCTTTCCTTCCATGTACAAGTTTTTTTTTTTCATTTGTTTAAAAAATCATTGATTTCATAGCATCCTCCAAAGTGACAAATGAATTTTATTTTATTTTTTTTTGCGGGGGCATGAGGGGAGTATCCATTAAGAATTTGTGGATTATAAAAAGCAAATTGGATGTATTTTTAAACCATGGCATTATATCCTCCATGATGCCCCATTGCCCCATGTTGGCTGGTATGGCTCCTAAGTCCCGCCGACATGACCTTTGGTCTCTAATGGCCTTAGCCTGCAGGTCCGTGAAGATGGTCCTGCTGCATCTTGCTTGCCTGCCCAGACCCTCAGTCTGCCATTTTTCTAAGAAGCCCTGGTTCCTTTTCGTGGGACACAAAGTTGATTTGACTCCAGGTCTTCCTGCCCTTGGAGCAGGGTCCTAGCTGGCCTCTTTCTGGCAGATGAGCCCCCTCCCCAGGTCCCCTGCAGAGGGCACCTGCTCCGAGTTGAATCCCAAGTCCTGCCTACACAGTTCTGGGGCCTGCCAGCTCTCCTAGTGGGGAGACTGGCCGCAGCCAGCCATTGGGTCCCTAAGCACCACACCACATCGTCCTTTGGCTGAGACCATGGATAGAATTCCTGGTCTGGGGGTCCTGGCAGCATGTGATTCTGGGAGGCAGCTGGTATGTGCTTTGCTTCAGGGACAAGCACGCCACTTGGTGGGCCCCTTTGAGCTTGAGAACAAGAGGGGCACACACTGCAGTCAGAAAGTTTACAGTGTTTTTGCAGAGACGGTATTCAGCCTAATCTTCACAGCAACCCCTATGAGGGAGGTAAGGCAAGTGGTATTGTCCTTGATTTGTAGGGGAGAAGCCCAGGGCTCAGAGAGACTGTAGGCTGACTTGCCTAAAGTCCAATTGCTACTAAGCGGTGAGGCCGGACTGGAGCCCAGCCAGCAGACTCCCTGTCCAGTGCTCTTTCTCCTCCATGCTGCTCCTTTGAAAGAGACGGAGGGGCACCGGCAGGATTAGGCTTCTCACTGCCATGGGACAAGAACCTGCAGGGCTGAAGGAGACGCACCTGAGCACCCGGGCTTGTAGTCTTGCTTGGCAGCATGGTGGTCACATCGTATGAGCCTTTAATGGGCTCGAATCCAGCTATTGTTGGATCAAAAGGCGGCCATCCAAAAGAGAGAGAAAGAGGTCCCTATATCTCCTGTCTTTTGCAGTAGACGTTGGCTTCCAGGGGCAGATGGGCCACAGCGAAAGGCAAAGAGAAACAGAAGAGGCTGTGTCTTAGGTTTGAGCTTCTGAGGGTCCAGGCCCTGGCCGTTTAGGGTATTTCCAAGGACTGTGAAACCCTTTCTGCCCCTTACATAGGACAGCGGTTCTGCCAGGGCCCAGCTCTGTGTGTGTCTCCGTTTGTGGGTATCGTTTATACACTCACCGCTCGTTTCTCTCTGTGCCACACCCCGCAGTGTGGATTTTGTGAAGTGGTCCTCACAGGGGATGCTGAGGATGAGTCCGGACGCCATGAACGCCCTTTTCAAGCCGACCATCGACAGCATCATTGAGCATCTCCGTAAGTATTGGCCAGGGCTCGATCACTCGTGGGGAGAGCCGAGAGTGGGGACTGACTTTTCCAGCATCATGACCGTGCATGTGAAGTCAGGTTGGCAGGGGGCTGGGGTCAGGAGCCACAGGCCAGGGCCCTGGCAGCATGGCAGCACTGGGTATGTACAGGAGGTTGCTGGGCACAGGCTCCTGGAAGCAGCCGATGGCCTGTCCTCATCTGGGCTCTCCTTCTGGCTTCACAAGTCAGCGAGTAAGCTGGGAGCTCTGCAGTACCATCACCCTTGAACGACAGGCCCTTGGTGATGTACCGTCTTCGCTTTATCAGGACAAATTAGGAACCATAACCCTTGCAGGGGAGAAGGAACTGTTGTGTGAACCAAAGAAAGCTCCCCACAAAAAGAGGAAACAGAATCTGGCCACACAGCTGCCTGCTGCCTCAGTGGCCCTCACCCAGGGACCCACGGTAGACTCACGGGGGACCCTTTTCAGTATCCAGGCACCCACGTCCCACCCCTCACCTACCAAATCACAGCCCCTACTGGTGGGATGGGATTTTTATGATAGCCAAAGGATAACATGTCTAACGGCCTGCCTTGGCTTACTTGACAGAACTACAGGTTTGGTGAGTGTTAGGAGTATTCCTTCATGCAGAACCAATTACTACTTAAAATGATCACCATCTACCTGTGAACATGGGTTTCTACTTAGCAAGAGCTTTTTATTCCTGAGCATATTGCTGTGCAAGACCCCCTTTCTTTAAAAGGCCAGCTACACAAAAATGCTGTTCAGCGAGCCAGACTAAGCCTGTCCTCCAGTGGGCCCAGAGGTTTTGTCCATTTCCCACATTCTCAGGCCACCCAGTCCCCCTTGGCTGCTGGCTTCGGTGACAGGATGTTGTCCCTCTCTCCTCCCTTTCAGGGGACCTGTTTCAGAAGCCCGAGGTGTCCACCGTCAAGTTCCTCTTCCTGGTGGGCGGCTTTGCGGAGGCGCCCCTCCTGCAGCAGGCAGTACAGGCTGCCTTCGGCGACAAGTGCCGCATTATCATCCCTCAGGACGTGGGCCTCACCATCCTCAAGGGCGCCGTGCTCTTTGGCCTGGACCCCGCCGTCATCAAGGTGCGCCGGTCCCCGCTCACCTACGGGGTGGGCGTGCTGAACCGCTACGTGGAGGGCAAGCACCCGCCCGAGAAGCTGCTGGTGAAGGACGGCACTCGCTGGTGCACCGATGTCTTTGACAAGTTCATCTCTGCCGACCAGTCCGTGGCCCTGGGTGAGCTGGTCAAGCGCAGCTACACCCCGGCTAAGCCCTCTCAGCTGGTCATTGTCATCAACATCTACAGCTCTGAGCGCGACAGCGTGAGCTTCATCACCGACCCCGGGGTGAAGAAGTGTGGCACGCTCCGCCTGGATCTCACCGGGACCAGCGGCGCCGCCGTGCCCGCCCGGAGGGAGATCCAGACCCTCATGCAGTTCGGGGACACCGAGATCAAGGCCACTGCCGTCGACATAGCCACCTCCAGGAGTGTCAAGGTTGGGATCGACTTCTTGAATTACTAACTGGCCTTCCCTGACGCCTGCCCCCTTGGACTCAGCTCGCCTGCATCTGCCGACCTCAACCCTGACTGTCCTTCCCCTGCCCTTGACCCTGCTTTGCTCACCTGAATTGCAGCAGGGAAGATGAGACCAGGGCTAGAAAACTGGGAGTTTTGAGGGCACACCGGAGTCAGAAAAAACTGTCGGGAAATGAAGATTGAGGTTTGGGAATAAGAAATGCAAGGATTTTAAAAGAGCAGCTGGTTTTCCTAGGTCCAAGTGGTGAAACACCCACCCAGCAAGGGAATCTGTACGTTTCCACAGTGATTGAGCTCGCTTTGAACACATCTCCATCGAGTAGAACTGAAGATGCCCTGTTGCTGTCCTTCTATTAATAGATTCGCAATATCTTTGAGCCAGGAGGAAATTCTTCATCTCTTTGAGGCTTTTCTTTTTACATTTTTTGGATGGCAGTCAATATAAAAAGCCAGCCATCTGCAGCTGATTTATTTTCCTCGTCATGTGATTAAAAGTGGAGATTCAGTGGGAATTTGGAACGTTTTTAGCTGGTGGGAGAAGACTGCCTACACTGGGCACTATTTTAGGCTGCCGTGATTTAAATTCCAAATAGGTTCAGTGAATATCTGTAGCCTTGGCTGATCCACTAGGATTTGTGTGAGTGGGAGGGCTGGCACCTCAATTTTTCCAGAGGTAAAAACTTGCTTCGATGGAAATGGATATGAAAGAGCTACTGATATATCCCAAATCATATGCTGTATAAGTTTTGACATCAGAATGACAAATCCTGATTTCTGAATTCATAAGTAATTCTGGTTAACCTCAATAGGAATTCTGTGTTTCGAGAAAATGAGGTTGCAATTTGCCTTGTTCACATCACCAAGCCCAGGAGTCTGGGAACAGCCCCTCACCTTGAAAAACATGCATGTTTTAAATTAACTCTTTTGCCCTGCTCACCTTCGTCCCCCTAAAAGTTTTGGCCATTTAGTCCCACATTTTGAAAGGAAAACATGGTGATACATGGGCAGAGACGCTGTTCTATAACATGATTCATTCAAGCTTTCAGTTTTTAAAGCCTGTCCAAAAGGAATTCATAGCTCTATACTTGGTCAATTCAGCCAGCTTTTCAAAGCAGATCTGCGGATCGCCCATAGGAGGGCACTTGCTAAAGACAGGTCCTGGATCCTGTCCCGTTTACGAACTGAAGTCGCGTCTTGGAGAAGAGGACCAGAACCTGCAGTTTTCAGTAAACACCACAGGTGACTGTGGTGCGATCGAAACTCCTAGCTTGAGGTTTTGTCTGAAGCTGACAGCAGACCAGAGCCTGCAGCCTCTGGTTGGGCTCCCTTAGGGAGCCGGCTCACATGAAGAGTGATGATCCCACACTCGCCCTCTTGTGAGTGGGGCTGGGGCCTCACCTGGCTTGGGGATGGTACTGTAACCCTCACAGGAAGGGCCTGGGGAGGAAGAAGATTGGAAGAAAGCCACCCTAAGAAAGGGGCTGCCTGAGGAACCAGCTGGCTTGGTGTGCGTTCTCTCCTTCCTTCCCCACTTGCAAAGCCAGTTTTCTCCAACATTCAGGCAACAACTGAGGAGAAAGAATCAAGAATCTGACTCACAGCCCATCTGATCTGTTCCAAGCTGTCTTTTCCACCTGCTGGAGTTCATTCCAATTTTAAACCACTGGAGGTCTGCTTAACGAACGAAGGGAGGAGGAGCAAACTAACTTCGAATGCAAGTTGGATTCACAAACCCATTATCACAGCCTATGTGCAGATTTTAAATAGCATTTCCAGTTTCGTTCTAACATGTCTGCTTTTTCACCTCGCCTGCTGCCGAATTACCTACTAGAATGTGAAACACAACAAACCACAGAACTAGAAGACGCTGATCACATAACTTAGTCACAGGATTTCTCATCCAGGCACAAAGTTGTGTGTGCTAGGGTTCTCTTGCTGCCTGCTCTGCTTCAACGCTACACCTGATGGGTCTTTCTTTGGTGTTGCTAGCCATACTCTCTCTACGAATAAGACTTCTCAATTTAGTTATAATTTTATGTACATACAATATTAGAATATTGTACAGAATCTTTATTTCTACAATGTGCTTTTCTTGTTAAAAAAGAAAGGAAAAATGCTCTTTGAATTTTGTTGGTGACAGATCTGCCTTTAATTTTTCATGGTTTCATTTCTTAATTGTGCTTACTAATCGTTGAGTACCGATATTAAGCTATGGACTATATATGCAAGACTGAGCAATAGACAGAGGTGCCTAAGGTCAGAATGCTCTGAACACATGGACTGCCTGGATCAGTGGCTTCATCAGACCTTTCTACACACACATCCTTCCCAGAGGTTCACAGTTTATATTTAAAGGAGCATAATAATGTATCGATTCTCCTGTTCTGTCTGAGAGCTGAACGTCCTGGTTCTGGAAGCATTGTGACTATGCAGGAAAACCTACAAAAACTCTTTGCACCCCTGCAAGGTTGTCAGCCTCTCTTTGCAGGACAAAGCAGTCACTCTGAGGGCAAAGTGTGGTCTACCGTGTGTGATGTTTTCAGTACACCAGGGTCAAAGGAGGGAATCAGATGGTGCACACATCCAGCTTTTCTACTGGATTGGGTGTAAGTGTGGGTAATAGAGTCAAGTCCTTCTTTTGGGGCTAATGTAACGCCTTTCCCACCTTGCATTAAGGATGTCTCCATGTCTATTTTCTTAAGGTGAGGTGGTTGAAATCTGTACTGCTGGCAAACAGATGATCGAGGGGAGGTGATAATTTTACTGGACTTTCTTCTAGCCCCAGAGATGCAGGCCCAATAGTCAAACTCCTTTTAAAGGGATTTCAATGGATCCCCCAAATCTATCCCTTCCCCCACCCCCTTGCTACGGAAATATTCTAGAACACTGGATAAGTACCCTTAGACACATTTTCTAGTCTTAGAAAGTTTCTAAAAGGCCTGTTGTTAGACACATTACTCACTTGTCCCCGGCTTATTATCTGATCATGTTTCGTGGAAGCAGAACTGTCAAAGGATTTTCTATGTAACTGCCCTTTTTGTACACAGCAGGCATTAATAAATGCTGAATGCCAGCCAAGTTACAGACAGTCAAGAGACGGGAAAGAGGAGGAGACATACAAGCATTTGTGTCGAGTGATGGCTAACATGAGTACAGATTACAGATCCTGCCCTACCCCTAGAACGTTACTTAGATCAAGTTTAGCTTTTAGAGTCCAGGTCTGGTTAATTGCCAGGGTGGCAAAGAATCGCATGCACCAATATACACAGGAGTCAAAATGCATTATTAGTCGACGATCGAACTTCACGTTGTAGAGATGAAATAGCTGTGATTAAGCTGCATATTTATGCTGGGAAATGGCTTACATGGATGACTAGTATAAAAGTTGTTGGCCACAATGTCACACCTCTCATCTGCTTAGAATATGGAACTATATTCTAAAATGGGTCTTGTTCACGACAAGATAAATTCAAACTTCACAGAACTTTGCAGCAGTTCACAACTTGACAAGATTGTATCTGCAAATTCCGTCTTCACAGATGTCTAATAAAGCAAAACTCTGGATCTTATGTGGCCCAGATGGTTTTTTTTTTGCACTCTGAATTTGTAAATGGAATTTTACATACTCTTACCGACCTCCCCCTCCTCCCCATCTCAGGTGGAGATAGATTTCTCAGGTCCTTTTCTAGGTGTTGCAGGCTTCATGAACTTTCATACCAACAAGACCGGCCCCTTTGTTCTTTGGGAAGGAAGGTTCTGTTGATATTCTTGAGCCTCCTTTCCCTCCAAGCTGGATGAAAGTGGTCTAGCCAAAGAGAAGTCAGCCAAGTGGGGTGAGTCACTGACAACTCCACCGCACCCAAACGAAGGGCATTTAAAAAAAAAAAAAAGCACACAGCCTGGGACTGGTGCTTTGTGCTGGCATCTTAGCAGGCACAGTAAGCTGGCTGCTGCAGCTAAAGCCTTGGGTTTATTCCAGGCTTTATGTCTGGGTCACCCTTCAGAGTTGGCTCTCGGGAGCTCCCAGATAGTGTGAGGTTGGGGTTCTGGGACCCTGGGGGAGGTGTAAATGGGCTCTTCCTAAGTGGGTAGCTCCATCAGCCTTCATCTGAAGTTCCTTTCCCCGGGGAGTTGAGGTAGGGCGCCTGGGAGCTGCAGTAAGCAAACAGCAGTCAGGCCTTGGTTTCCTTCTCTGGAAAGGCCACTCATGCCCTCTGGTTCCAATCCAATGGGATGAAGGCTCAGGACCTCCTTCGAGCCCATAAGATGAGGCTGGTTATAAAGGAGTATGGCTCCACTTCCCCGGTATCGCCCTTTTTCTGCCCTGTTACCTGTCCGGACCGTCTGGAAACCCGTTTTAACTCCTAAGAGACAGAGGGCTGGGGGCCGGAGTGGAAGCCGCCAAGGCCACAGGCTGCTCTCCTCTCCTGGGCTGTTCCAGCACCCCGCCTGTCCCTGACTTTGGGCCCCACGTGGGCCCAAGGAAGGGAGTCCCGTTCTCATCCACCCTCTTCCTCCCACCAGGACTTCCTGGCCCCAACCCAGGCCACCCCAGCGTCCACATTACAAAAAGGCCGCGTTGACCTAGATCCCTTCGAGTGCCCCTCCTCCCAATCCCCAAACTTAAGAGGGCCCCGGCTGGGGGAGACCATGAATGGAGAACAGCTTTGGAGACCAAATATTTGTTGGGCGACTCCTGAGCGGGGAGCAGTGGGAAGCCCCATCACATTCAATCGAGTTCACCCACCCGCCTGGCCGCCCGGCCTCGGCTAACGGTGGGGCGGCGGGTGGTGAGGGACGGGGGAGGGGCCTGCTGTCCGGGGGCGGGGCAGGCGGACAGCAGGCCCCGCCCAGCTCCCTTCCCCCGCCCTTTCTCCGGCGGGTGATCGCACAAAGGCGGGGCGGCGCGCAGGCAGGGCTTGGGCGAGGCGGCCCGCTGGGCAGTGATCCAGGTCCGCCCAGGTGAGCGACTCAGGAGAGGGTTGGGGTGAGGGGTGAGGGGGGCGGCGTATCCCCGCCCCTCCCGGACCCCGCTCACCTCGTCTCCACCTTCCTTCCTTCTGCCTCCTCCAGGCGGGCCTCGGGGCGGGGTCCGCAGCCGCTCCGCCCCTACCGTCTGCGCCCGGAGCCGCCCCCTTCTTAGCGGCTTCTTTTGAGGCCACAAAATCCTACCTCTCAAGAGTTTAGAGGCCATTCATTTATACCTCCTTGGATGCAACGACCCTCAAACGAGTTACTTAACCTCTCCATGCCTTTCCCCGCCCTCATCTATAAAATGGGGACTCCAACTAACCCTTAGGTTGGTTGTGAGGATTTAACAAGAATGCGGTCCCACATTCAGCCCTGTCCTGATAGCAAGCGTTCTGTACATGCTTGGAACGTTTTTAAAATGCCCATCATTGCTGACAAAACCTGACTGTGGCCCTCCCCTCCCACTCCCTGAGCCATTTGTCCTGGCAGGAGGGCATCACTTTTAAGAGATGAGTTGGCTCGGCTGGGTAGGACCTGGCAGCATCAACAGATGTGAGATGCTGGCCTGGCCCATGGGGGATGTGTGTGCAGGGACCACGGGCCACCCTGGAAGAAGGAATGGGTCTGGCTCCAGAGACAGCATCTACATGAACTAATGCTGCAGTGGTCCCCCCATCACCCTCTGCTCACCCCCCTTGGACTCCAGGCCAGCCTTTTGGGACTTATGACCCCTTCCAGCCAGAACATAACTCTAATTCTTTGTTAGGGGGCTGTCCTGAGCCTTGCAAGATGTTGAGCAGCATCTTGGCCTCTACTCACTAGATACCTGCAGCACCCAGTCCACTATTGTGACAACCCAAAATGTCTCCAGACACTGCCAGATGTCCTGAGGGGGGAGGTGCTGGGGGGCAGCAAAAATCACCACTGTGACCTGGTATCCCCTGGATAAAGAAAGGCTGTGGGTTAAGGATACCTCATCTCCCCCCCCCGTCCCCCCCCTCAAGGTTTTTACATGGGAGCTCCTGGGTCTTGCTCATCTTTTAATTTCTAACTTCTGTCACAGTTGGTGGCCATAATGTGTACACAGTTCATAATTGTTGGATGGAAGGTTGGAGGTGGGGGTGGGACGAGGCCCCCAGGGGAGGGAGACACTGGTGGGTGGTGATTTGCACACCTGCCATCTAAGTTCATGTAAGAGGCGAAGGCCCCTTGGTATCATGGTTTTATTACTGAAGCCTGCAACATCTGGTTTTGTGTAAGATGGTGGTGTTATGTCTCCATCCGAACCCCTGACAAGGTCACTGTACTCCCAAGGGCTCTAGCATACTTGAGGTGAGTTCTTGAGGCAGGGACATTTGATAGGACAATTTCATTCCTTTTTCCCTTTATTAACAGAGGGAAAATCATGGAGTCTTCCAAGACCTTCATGAGACAGCTGCCAATCACACCAGGATACAGTGGTAAGTGGAGACGTGCCCTGCAGACGTGCCTGGCAGGAGAACCATGGTCCTGCTCACTGTCCGTGCTTTGGCCCACTGTTCGTGTCTGTCTGGCCGACTGAGCCAATACAGGCACTAACTTTTAAGATATGTGTTAAGAGCACCCCATTGCTGAAGATGGCTGATAATGGCTCTGATAGAGAGATATAACTTAGGTCAAATCTCCCAGGACATGACCTGGTATGCAGGAAGCACTTAATTAATGTCCATTAAATGCATTTGGACCAGGAGAGACACAGTGAATGGCGATAGACACACGAATAAGCTTGAGGCCCTGTCCTTCTCCCCAACTTTGACTTTCTCAAGCTTTGCAATAGAACTGTTCTTATGGTTCCATTTCTTCTTGTGTTCCCAAGAGGGAGGGTGACCAACTGTCCTGAATTGCCTGCAATTAGCACTGAAAGTCCTGTGTCCCAGGAAATGCCTTAGTCCTTGGCACCTGGACAATTGGTCACCCTACCTAAAGGCTTCTGGGCTACTGAGAACTTATTAAGTCACATCCTTGTGACAAATCCAGTGATCCCTGTAGGCCCTCAGCTCTCACTTACAGATGTTCTCAGGAAGAGAGATGCAGGGGGAATACCCCAAGGCTGCCCAGCCTCACCCTCTGGTCCTGGTTCATTAAGAAAGCAGGCTTTGGGCTCTAACAAACTGAGGTTCCAGCCTCTGCTCAGCCATTGTCTGTGTGATTGTAAGTAAGGTACTTACCTCTCTATGGTAATTTCTATGAAATGGTTGTATTCGTTTCCTAGGGCTGCTGTTTAAAACAACAGACCCTTGTTCTCTCACAGTTTGGGAGGCTAGAGGTCTGAAATCAAGGTGGAGGTAGGGCCGTGCTCCCTCGGAAGACTCTCGGGGAGGCTCCTTCCTGCCTCTTTCAGCTTCTGGTGGCCGCGGGCATTCCTTGGCTTGTGGCAGCATCACTGGTCACTGTCATCTGTGCCTCCATCTTCACCTGATTCTTCGTGTGCCCTTCTGCCCTGTTTCTCTGTCTGTGTGTCTCAAACCTCCCTCTACTTTTGCTTTATAAAAGCACCAAGCATTGGATTCAGGGCCACCCTCAATCCAGGATGATTGAATTTCTAGATCCTTAATTATATCTGCACAGATCCTATTTCCAGGTAAGGTCGCATTCACAGATGCCAGGGGTTAGAACTTGGACTTGGGGGACACAATTCAACCAACTACATGGGGGTAATAATGGAGTTTTTATAAGATTGTTGTGAGGACTAATGGAGCCAGCATACATAACCTATTTAAAATGTCTTGGTGCTCAGCAAGACTCAATAAGGGTATTTTGTATTCCTGTGTGTGTGCACCTATCCCAGGGGTTGGCAAACTTGAGACAGAAGAGCCAATCCGGTCCCTCACAACAATTTAAAAATTATTTGAGAGCCATTAAACAAATGAAGTCACCATTATGTGAATAATATCATTTGAAATTTTTATAAATGAAACTATTATAGTTTTATTTTCATTTCCAATTTTGCTTCAGAGCCACATGTACGTACCCAAAGAGCCGCATGTGGCTCACGAGCCACAGTTTGCCGACCCCTGATCTATTGGGTTTTCGGAAAAGTCATGACGTATTTTGTCTTATGTTTTTCAAAGGTCATTTACTTATATAAAGAACAAAGAGCAATAAATGATATATTGCCCATTTTGTTCGATAACCTTTTGCCATCTTTCAGTGATTTTCATAATTCCTCGTTCATAGAAGGGCCTGTCTTTATTTGCGAAAAATTGAACAAGGTGCTGATTTATAGCCTCATCTGAATTGAACATTATACCACGCAAGGAGTTTTGAAGAGAGCGAGACAAGTTGAAGTCTGATGGCACAAGGTCAGTTGAGTATGGTGGGTGTGGCGACACATCCCATCCAAGCTCCTATCATTTTTGACGGGTGATCAAACTTGTGTGTGGTCTCACATTGTCGTGATGGAACACAACTCCTTTACAATTAACAAGCTCTGGATGTTTCTGGATGATGGATTCGTTCAATCTGTCCAATTGCCGACAGTACACATTTGAATTGATTGTTTGGTTCCTTGGTAGGAGCTCGAAAAACACGACGCTTTTAAAATCTCACCACACTGAGAGCATAACCTTGCTCTGGTGAATGTCTGCTTTCGATGTCGTTTGAGGCGAATCATCATGTCGGGACCAAGACCATTTGCACACCAATTGTTGTAAACAATCCACTTCTCATCACCAGTTATCAATCACTTCAAAAAAGAATCGTTTTCCTCACGTTTAATGAGCATATTGCAGATGTTTACACACGCCATCAAATGAACTTCTTTGAATTCATGCGGAACCCAAATATCAAGTTTGCATACGTATCCCAGCTCTTTCAGGTGGTCATGAATGCTTGAATGACGGATGTTCAATGTTTTTGCAATCTCTTGTGTCGTGTAACGTGGGTTTGACTCGATCAATGCCTTTATTTTGTCATCATCAACCTCGGTGGGCCTCCCTGACCGAGGAGCGTCATTGAGATCAAAATCACCAGCACGGAATTTTGTGAACCATCGTTGGCACTGATGTTCTTGTGGAGCATTGTCACCGTAAACTTTATGCAACTTTTCACAAGCTTGATGTGCGTTCTTCCCTTTACGGAAGTAAAACAGTAAAATATGGCCAAAACGCACAGTTTGGTCTTCCCTCTTCAACTTGTTGTAAAATCTCCAAAACTCAACCAAATCGCTCAATTTTTTCTTTTAGAATGAAGCTAGAACTGTCAGCTGTCAAATGACATAGCAATAACATAGATGCGAATGACTCTAGTACTTCCAAAAATGAACTAGTGCCATCGGTCGCAAACATGCGTCATGACTTTTCTGAAGACCCAATATAGAAATGTAAAATCTGTGCAGGTCAGAGTAGACCCTGATGGAGGAGACACCACTGTGGCAAGTCCTGTGGGTTACTACAGCGGCCTCCCCCATGACATTAAGGTATCTTTTAATTGCCCAGGGATTGGGGAGGCTGGATGGTGGGTGGAGGACTTTAAGATCAGTCTCTCGTGATTGGAATCTTCCAGAGGGGGCCTCTTGCAGGGTGCAGGGGTGGTGGTTGCTGCATTCAACGCTGAAGGCAGGTGTTCCTTACCTAGGGACAAAGGCAAAAATGTTGGGCTTCCGTCGTGAGAGTTATTTATTTATTTTACAGTCTAAAACCAAGTTCTTAACCAGTTTTTCCTCATTTGTTCTTTTTAAAAAATGGTGTTATTGTGACAATATTATAGTACTTAGGATTCAGCATCCAGTTTGAATAAATAGTCATGTTTTACCCGTACTAATTGTAATGATTATATGTTATTTTGTGGGAAATGGTGAAAAATTATTCTAGGGGTGGCTCTTGCAGACAATGAATTTACCTTTTTGTGTAATAGGTCTCTGCTTTTAATAAGCCCACAATTTTCCGATGGTCCAGACAAGAAAGGTCCCAAATTGCATTTGGGAAGTGTCAAGGAAAATAAGCTTTCTCTCTAAAAAAGTGAATAATTTCAATTACTCCTCAGACTATCATTTTGGCCCATTACATGCTTTCCCCGTTTGCCGTTCAGGCTGACATCAGGGGCTTTGCTATCAAAGAATATTACTGTCATAGCCTTTGTTGAAATGGGCCTTCACTCCCCAGCACCGTCATTTTTTGTGGCCTTGGGAGGGCCCGTCACAGTGGGAACAACAGCACTGCTTGTATTAATGGCCTTTGGAAAAATGCAGTGTTGTTGGCCAAGGGAGAAATACCAACTGGTGGGCTGAAAACTCCGGGGCGTTTGGGCCAAGGTTCGGAATCCTTGCCAAAGGCTGTGGTTTCCGTGGGCTCTTGCAGGCTTCATCCCGTACCTCAGCTGCCTGGATACTTCCAGGGAGGATGACGTGTCCCACTGTCTGAGAGCCTTCCAGGAGAAGACGCAGCGATACAAAGACCAGCTGGAGGAATTGCGCTGTTCGGTGGCCGCTGCCCAGAGACTGAAACCCGTCAGCTCTGAGAAGGCCGTCCTGCGGGCGCTGCACCAGTACTACCAGCAGTACCACCCCTTGAGTCTGGGTACCGGCCCCCAGAAACCAGCCCCCTTCTGCCCCGGGGCCCAAGGGCAGGGCCTGGCAGGCCCACGGAGCTGCACAGAGATCCTAGAGCTCAGCACAGCTCCCCATTCCCAGGCGGCAGTGAAAACGGAAAGGCTCGGTTTCTTAAAATGAGAAACAGTTCCAGGGGGAGAGGGCGTTGGGAACTAAGTGCCCCTGGGCTAGTCTTACCACAAACGTTCAGACAACTGCCGTCTCTGCATTTTAGTGCTTCCTCTGTGCCTGGCACCGTTACTTCGTTAACCACTCACAGCAGCCCTGTGAGGGCGATCCTGCCCTTCCCATTTTAGAGATGGGGGAAGTGAGGCTTCAAGAGGTAGTGTCCCTTGTCCAAGGTCAGACCTGGGTTTGGACCCAGCTCTTCCAGGTCCTAGCTGGGTGGAAGGGGTTTTGCTCTGAATAACAACCACAAAAACGATGATGATATGATTATACAATGTTAATAATCACACGGTGGTTTGTCCAGGACCATTTTTCAGGTTTCAAGGCCTATAGAAAAAGTAATGGACTGATTGCAGTTGTTATTATTCCTAGAATTGTTCTGGGCCCTTTAAGAACACGTTTCTTGTGCTTTAAAAATTTCCAAAACATTACAAAGAACATCTGCCTAAGAGTTTGGGATTGAGCCCAGCTCTTTGCCTACTTGCTGTGTGACCTAGGGCAACTTGCTTTCCCTCTCTGGGCTCTAATTACTTCATCCAGGGCAGGGCAGGGCAGGATGGACCAGATACTCCCTAGGGTGCCTTCTAGCTCTGAGGTTATGGGACTCAGAGGCCTAATTAAATTCTTACAACAGCTGGGGGAGGCTTATGGGGCTGTAATCTTTCCTCTCACAAATGTGAAATTGCCAACGTCATCTAGCCAGCCAGAGTCACTCATGACCTGCAGGCAGGTTCCCGGTGTTGAGTCTGATTTGGGTGCTTCTCTTGATTCCCTGTGTAAACTGTCAAAGAGCAATGACTGAAGCTTTTAACCTGAGGAAGGAGAAGGACCTGTTTAAGAGCAAGGACTTGGGAATCAGAGGGACTTGGGTTTGAATCTCGATGCCAGCACTTCCTTGTTATATGACCTTGGCCGAGTCTTAACCTCCTGAAGTTCTCGCAGCCTCCTCCTCCAAAACGTGGAGGTAATAACGGCACCAACTTCTTAAGGATTGCGAGAGAATGAAATGAAAGGCTATATGTCAAGCCCCTACCGAGGTGCCTGGCATGAGAATCAACCAGCCAGTGGTAGCTGCCCTGAGGACATCTAGAGGCCTAGGTGTTCACCGTGCTGTTGGGGTGCCAGCTGACTTGGGAGCACTGCCCATGGTGTGGCTTCGCAAAGCCCTCAGGAAGCATGGTGTTTCTTTCCAGAATGCAAACACATAAAGAAACCCCTCCAGGAGCCCCCGATCCCTGGCTGGGCGGGCTACCTGCCAAGAGCCAGGGTCACTGAATTAGGCTGTGCCACACGGTTCACGGTCATGGCCAGGAACTGCTACAGGGACTTCCTGGACATCGTGGAGCAGGCCAAGAGAGCACCCCTGAAACCGTATGAGGAGTAAGTCTGGCCTGGGGCGTAACCACAGGTAACAAGGGGAAGGGCAGATGTTGGGCCACGGGTTTCCAGAGGGACTCATCCCAGCACTGGGACTATGTTTGTGTCTGATTTGTTTTACACGGGGCCTTGTGTGTAGTCGCAGGGCCGTCCAAGTAGGCAGCCATGCTCCGTTCCCCACCCGTGCCCAACAGTCTCTGGAAGTCCTGCTTTGCAGGGAGAAACTGGAAGTAAAAGCCAACAGGGCCACCCATCCTGGCAGCAACCTAAGGCGTGAGGGAGGGAGATGGTAGGGCACGACTGCAGAGGGTGGCCTCCGTTTTTCCTTCTGTAAAATGGAGATGCTAATCCTTACCTTCAGAACAAATGGTAAGGATTAGAAATAAACGTCCCGTGCTCACCGGTGCTTACACAGAACCTGCATAGGTTCTATTTATTATTATTTTTATTATGAAGAAAAGGAGTAACTCTATGACTTTTGTTCTTACTTTAGAATATATGGAGTTAGGTCCATGCAACCTCCTCCTTTGCCACCAGCTTTGCAGCATGAAGGGCTGCTGCCGAAATGTCGGAGCTGCTCTAATCCAGGTAAGGGAGGACTCTTTCTTCCTTTTCTACTGTTTTTAAAAGGGGATGACATGTTTGCAGCTGCCTCTCTGCTTAGCTGGGCCACGTGCCTGCAACTCGTGGGGATGGTTTCTCTTCCAGGTGGTACCTGTCCTGCCCTTGGAAGACCCCCGGCAGAGGACCCTAGACCTCCGGGGACGTGTGGCTGTACTCAGAGGCCAAGTATGTCATATAATGGGAAGATGTATCTAGAGCCACTGTCCTCAGCCAAGGCTAGGACAGTAGAAGGCTAGAAGCCAAGAGCCCCCCAAGGAGAGGTGAACCTTAGGAGGGGCTCAAAGGCTCGCCATTCTCACAGGAGACTCAGCCCCTCACCCACACCCCAAAAGCACCTGGGACTTTTCATAAGAATCCTTTGAACTGCTGCCTGCACCCTGCCTGCTTGGCAATAACACATCATTAATGATAAAGACCTTTTATTGTCATGTGGGAATAAAGAGTATATGTCTCAGCATGCTAAAGGGCCTCTGTGGGTTTTTTCCCAGGTTATGTTGACCCTGAGAAGAGGCAGGGTGGAGCCCATTTCTTCCTAAACCTGAGGTGATACTGTGCAGCTGGACCAGGCCCCTGTTGAAGCCCTAGCCCAGCTCTCTCACCCGCCAGCCCCTGTCAGTCACCCTGGGTCCTGACATGGCAGTTCCCAACACTGGCACACACGCCACGCCCACCCCAGCCCCAGTTTTTCCAAATCCCAGTTCCCCGGGAAAGCCAACTGGCAAATAACAGCCTTTGTCGGCTCCCAGGGCTTCCGGTAAAAGAGTACCATGAACGGGGTGGTGTAAGACAACAGGAATTTATTGTCTCACAGCTCTGGAGGCTACAAGTCCAAAAGCAAGGTGTCAGCAGGGCCATGCTCCCTCTGAAACCTTAGGGAAGAATCCTTCCTTGCCTCTTCCCAGCTCCTGGTGGTTTACTGGTAATCCTTGGTGTTTCTTGGTGCGTGACTCCAGTCTCTGTCTTTATCATCACATGGCATCCCTCTGTGTCCCTGATGTCACATGGCTGTATTTTTATAAGGACACCAGTCCCATTAGATTAGGGGCCACCATTCTCCAGTATGACTTCAACTAAACTTAGCTAACTACACCTGTTTCCAAACAAGTCACATTCTGAGGTACCGGGGATTAGGACTTCAACATATACTGTTGGGGAACACACTTCAGCCCATAACCCTGGCTAATTTCCTCCTGCCACTGGCCTTCTCCCTGACCTCGCTCTGCAGCCACTGGCTCTGAGAAAAAAATCAAAGCAGCTGCTGGGGCAGTGAGGCCATTGGTATGAAAGGCTCAAAAATGTACAGAGCCAAAAGACTCAGCAAGCTGCTCCTGGAGGTCTTTCCAACACAGGAATTTTCACCTGGGCTCCCGGGACCACCCGGGTTTCATGCATAGAAATCAGGAGTCCTATCTTTGAGAAGAAAAAAGAACTTTGATGAGAAAAAAGTGACATCTTTGTATTCACTAACCTCCAAGTGAAATTTAGTATTGCCTTCACTTATGAATTAGGCAACCAACTACAGCCGTACCTGTCACCTTAGCCCAATAGAAATCACAGATCTTGTCACAGCATATGACATTTGTTACAAACAGCTTTGAAATGTTACTCTTGGTTATTGTAATTATCATAGTTATTGGAGCTACTATAACAACTTTCTAGCATATTGTTATTCAATATATGTGTAAAGAAACACAGCTATTTCACAAATATTCTTTTTACTATTTGGATAATACTTCAACATAATTAGTTTCCTTTGTAATTGCCTGTATTTTCCTTTACATTTAAAAACATTATTCTGAGAAGAGGTCCACAGATTTTACCAGAGAGCCAAAAAGTCTCTGGCACAGAAATGGTTAAGAACCCTTGTCTACGAAAACAAACAAGGATGTGTATAAAGGATGAGTGTCATATAAACCAGAACAACAACCCAAACCCAATGGGAATTGAGATTCCAGTACATCCCATTATTAAAAATAATGTGATAGAAGAATGCTGTTGTGGAAAAACATTCATGATATAGTACATGAAAAAAGCAGGTTGTAATAACAGCAAACCCATATGTACACACATACACACACACACACACACACGCACGCACACACGCACGTGCGTGCGCACACACACACACACACACACACGCACAGTTTTTTTTGTTTTTAAACAAGGGGTAGATGGGTAGAGGGAATTGCTAATCCATAATGCTAACCATGGTTATTTGGATGGTGGTGTTATTGGTCAATTTTATTTTTTTGTGTGTATTCTCCAATTTTCCACAGCCAACAGGTATTGTTTTCATAATCAGGAAGAGATATTATTTTAAGGATCTTCATTTGAATTGATTAAAAGCTATTTTAACCTTTTAGAGATGGTATGTTTAAAGAAAAAAAAGCCACACTTCCATAGAAGGTAGCTGGCGTTCCCTTCAAAGGGCTGGGGCAAAGCCCAGGGAATAGTCAGATTTTTTTTCCAGCTTCCATAAACCCCTGGGAGAGTGACCCCACAGTCCTAGACAGGAAATCAGGAGACAGAGCCCTCACCTGCTTGGGCCTGAGTGGTCCCACCTGTTGCGTCTCT